TATTTTTAACACAAAAAGGAGGACATGTCCGGGTAAATCCGGACGAATGGTAACCCTACCCTAATGGTGGAAATTTTCTGTGCTCACGCTGTCTCTGGCAATGAGTTTTCAGCGCACACTGTCCCACCATTGCGCCTGCTGGGAGAAATCCGCTCTAGGAGTGATTATAACCGTCTCCGCACCGTTCTGCAGAGATTGGGAAGATTACGTAATGTTTGTGTGATGTGGGCACTTGCCTTCTGAGACCCACTAAACTCATTTCACTGTCATGGAGAAGTTGTTCAGTTATTACTGAGATGGGTTGGATTCCAAATAGTAAACTAGAAGTGACAGGCCCTTTTATATGGTCCAGTGGATAGGACATATAACTTGCCCCCAGGACTTCTGGGTTTGAGTCCTGGCTCGGACATGGAATTGCTGTGTGACCTGGAGCATGTCACCTATGCACTGCTGTTTTCACCATCTGTAAAATGAGGCTAATGCTACTTACCAACCATGGTAAATGCTTTGAGATGTACAGATAAGGGGTGCTAAATGTTCTGTTAGCAATTCAGTCTCTTCCCCTTCCTTACGTGTATCTTATGTCCTCTTCACTTTGCATTCACTGATCTGGCTCCCCTGTGCTCACTTTTTCTTTATGGCTGCTTAGCCTGTGCTGTTAGACTCTGTTAAACTTGTACTCTAATAGTGAGACCCTGCATCTCCACACATTTCTCTTCTAAATGTTGCTTATTTCTGCATGTGGCTGTTGAGGCTTCTCACTTCCTTGTTCTGTTTGTTTTTATAAGTGAGTCATGACTGTAGAGGCTGTCTCCACAGCTCCCTACTTTCCTTATGCATTTCATGTGGCTGAAAAATGATGCAGTCAAATACCAGATAAAAACCAATGGGAGTTTGCATGCATGAGTTTTGTAATCTCTAGATTGTGATTTAACACATTAGTAGGATTAAAGCACGTGTAGATCCCGACCAGTTCACAGCTTATTTCAATGGCAAATGGTGCAAAATATTGAGACATTCCTCTGCAAATCATAATCCACAAAACACAATTCACAAAAAAGCAAAATGGAAACATTTTGTAATGAAATTCATATGCAATGAAATCTAGCTAGACAGATAGCTATCCATTTTTAAAAAGGGAAGTATAGTTAAAATTACAATTTTGTGCCACAGTTAGAACTGCTATGAAGGCAGCAGAGAAAGCACAAGTTTGTAATAAGTTTTGCGTCAAAGCAGACACTAGTAAGTACTTGAACGTTCTTAAACAGAAATACCTCTGTGTATATCATACACAGTAGTAAAATTAGAAATTTTTAATGGAGCTTTTGAGTTGGAAGCAGACTGGCTTAAATCCAGGGAAGGTGTTCACACATATTTTGCACCTGAAAATGAAAAATCGTTTGGATTGCTTGCCTATAGTTACTCTGCACTGCTGATTTTTTATTTATTTATTTTTTAACTTGACAGATGCTGCATGTATTAATTGGATCAGGCTTTCACTGTAGAGGCATTCACTTGTGGCTTAGACACTTCCCCACTGCTGAATTGAGGGCCTTGCCTGGGAAGGTCTGATTGGCACCATGATCTAGCTGTGCTGCTCACTAAATTCACGTGTTTGCATGCAATAATTTAAACATACTGCACACTCTTTCTAAAATGGTCTGCTTACAAGTTTCAGAATTGTAAAAGCGGAATGGCTGCTATAAAGAATCAAAACCTCAGTCATAGGAGAAATGACTGGATTCTAGAAACAATTGAAGTTTAAATTTTAAACAATGGCAATTAAGTTACTGTAGATGGAATCCATACGGTGGTTTGCTTATTACATTTTGTATTTACTTATTGTTATGGTGCCCAAGAGGGTTGTATGCTTCATAGAGAAGACCGGACCTTGCCTGCAAGAGCTTGCAAAGTAAATGACAACCTATAGAAACTTGGCAGTCCTCTAATTTTTAATATGGCCTCTTGCTTTTGTGTTCAGTGCTTTGAAAGCAGTGTATATCTGGGTACATCAACTACTTCCCATAGCTCAGAACACAAAGGTCTGTTGATGAGTGTTTTGAGGCTTTCTACAGGCTTTTGTTAGGCGGGTTGGTCAGTTTATGAAGGTTACCTGTGCCTGATAAATTAGGAATGCGACCAAAACACTGCTCTGGGCTCTTTATGTTAAAAAGGATTTATTGCATCCCCACTACTGGCTGTTTGTCTTGTTTTTACATTTAAACTTCAATGGTTTTGTGAGTGAGGCACAAAAGGGCTCATTTCTTCCGTCTTCTGAAGCGCGGCTGTGTTTATGACCCTTCAGAATAACGACAATGAGACCGCGCTGCACTGTGCTGCTCAGTATGGCCACACGGAAGTTGTGAAGGTTCTCCTGGAGGAGCTGACGGACCCCACGATGCGCAATAACAAGTTCGAGACGCCTCTGGATCTGGCCGCACTCTACGGAAGGCTGGAGGTCGTGAAGATGCTGCTGAACGCTCACCCCAATCTTTTAAGCTGCAACACTAAGAAACACACACCCCTGCACCTGGCAGCTAGGAATGGACATAAAGCTGTAGTCCATGTCCTCCTAGATGCCGGCATGGATAGCAACTACCAGGTATCTTGCCAATCCATTTGTGAATCTAGTGCAAGTGAAAGGGGTCAGATAGCAGCTGGGGAGGCTGGAGTCCTCCCCATAGAAAAGGCACTGTAGTGGTAGGGCAAGCGTCTCTTGACCTCAGTCCTGGAGGACTCTGCTTTAAGGATGAGAATAGCTCAGTCTCCCATTCAGTCCTTGGCTGTGTTGGGGGGTCCCGCTTGGGGCAGATATACAGCAGTGAAATGTGTCCCCAAAAAGAGTGGAGAGAACTTGTTCTCTCTTCCCACCAAACCACTTCTGACTTCCCTGTTAGCACAGAAATAAACTTGTATGTCTTATCTGTCTTTCCTTCTGTGGGAGAACACCCACTCTAAATAAACTTTGGAGAGTTTTTACTTTGTTTATAATTCTCAGGCTCTCCCATGTTAAACTAAACCTTCCTCTCACCCCAAATTCTTAATGCCGCAGAATAGCTTCTCACACAGTGTGACCCCAGTAATGGGTATTGGTTGCAGTGAGTTGCTTTTGTCCACATACTGTGCGTGCAATTACTTTTTTCCTGTTTATATAAACCCCTAAAACGTTTTAGGATTACTGTTCACAATCTGGGCTCATGGTATATTGTTTAATTTTTACAGACTGAGAAGGGCAGTGCTTTGCACGAGGCTGCTTTGTTTGGCAAGACAGACGTGGTACAAATATTGCTGGCTGCAGGTGAGAGAACGACATTTTGACACAATAGCCTGGAGATGGCTTTACAGGGAGCATGTGATAAGGGAATGGTGTATGGTGGTAGCATTTTTCTCTTATCAGGCAGCGGTGGAAGAATCGGTCCTCTGAGTGACTCAAGGAGGAGGTATTCTCTGGGCAGTTGGGTCTTAGGTCTCTTTGGAGGAAGAATTTATTTAACTCAGCCCAGGAAATGACCAGAAGAGCATCTAAGTGATGACTCAGTTACAAGAAATTAGCTTTGTTGCAGATAGTCTGAAAATGCTGTCTCACCCTGCCCGCCTTATCTCTTCTAGGTATTGATGTGAATATAAAAGATAACCGAGGCCTGACAGCTCTGGATATTGTGAGGGAACTTCCTTCTCAGAAAAGCCAACAAATAGCAGCTCTCATTGAAGGTAAATGAGTGTGTTTTCTAGTCATTCATATTTATTTTTCTGTCTAAATGTACATGTGGTCTGCAGCCATGTGATCATGTTTTGTGATCCCAGCAAACATCACAAGCTAAGCATCTTTAGGCCAGGCCAGTCCTTGGAGGGAAGCATCTAGGAATGCTCCAAGAAGTAGTGCTTTACCTCAGTTGGTGGTGCTCTTTCTGAGTCATTGACCCTGTGCCCCACCAGTGTTCCATCATGATGCTCTAGAAGGTGCTGTCTTGCAGATGATCCTTAAAACAGAAGTCTTTATTACTTGTTGGAATAAAAGGACCTCTGACCCTTTGCACAAGAGTGGGGCATCCTAGCTAGAGTCCCACTTGGGTAATATTTTTTCCTTTAAATTTCCTTTCAGCTGGATTTGGTGTTTGTCACATCTTGCATGTAACTGTTAGTAAATAATGTTTTCACCTCAAGCATTTGTGTAGAGTGTTATAGATTCAAAGCATTCTGCAAACATGAACTAAACTTCATGCTATTCCTGTGAGGTTGCCAAATACTGTCCTCATTTTTGCAAATGGGGAAACGAAGGCTGCTTGAAGGCTGAAAGTTTTCAAGCCTTAAGTGACATGAGTGAGACTCTTAAACTCAGGTGTCTAATTTCAGGCATTTAAACTTGGTATTTCTACCCTAGCTGTCTTGCCTGTGATCATAGGTCCCTGACTAGAAACCATGTCTCTTGACAGTCCTGTGCTGGTCCACACAACTTCACTGCCTCTTCTCAGTGTAGTATTCTCGGCTCCTCAGAGCTCAGATCAAGTGTTGTATCTCACTAAACAGCTACGTAGTAATCTGCTTGATAAGGTTGGGTGTGCATCTTAACTAGTTGATCTGTAAAGCGCTTTGTAGTTCTCTGATGAAAGACATTCTGTGGAAGTTCAGTGTCATTATTCCTAACCCTGGACATGTGATTAAAGGGGTAATCTGCTCCTATTGTGGGAGCTGAGCTCCCAGATCTAACCCTGCACTTTGATTTCATTTGGGCCATTTAAATACGTAGCTCAGCAGCTTTCAGAATAGCCACTTAATTCTGATCCACAAGGTGGGAATGTGGCACGCATGATATTGAACCAGGGAACAGGACTGTCTGCCTAACCTGGTTAAGTGGCAACTCCAGTGGTGAGCTTCTCACTATTTGAATGTTGCTTTTTCCTCTTTCCTGCACAGATCACACAACTGGGAAAAAGAGTGCAAAAGCGGCAGAGAAGGCTCTGCCAACACCTGTCATTCCTGCCACTGAACCTGCAGTCCGGATACCACAGGGTAATTAGTCTGCTATCTGGGAGGCAGGGCTTGAGTTTGTCGGGTGTGCAGATGACTGCTGATGACTGCACTGCTCTGAGTATAGAAGAGGCAGGGTTCAGTTATAATAAATCCAAAAGTTGTACTTTGTGCCCAGAAAGCCAAATAGTCTGAAACCAATGATTCCCCTTCTCTCCCACCCCCTGGTTCTTTAAATCTGACTTGCATAACGTATCCCATCTGTTGCCCCTGTAATGGGGGTGGGTGGATGTCTCCATAAATCCAGAGGGAGCTGCCATTTGTTTGCTCTCATCTTTGCTACTGTTCTGCTGAACCAATAAAATGATCCGTAAAGTACCAAACATATCAGGTAAAATGCAAATACAGTGCTTCCTATGTATGTGTCGCATCCTCTCTTAGAGAGAGTACCAAAGGATTGGCTGCATTCCCGGGGTGTGTGGTAGTGACACACAACCCTGGTGGAGACTGTCTGGTCTATAGAATAGGTTTTTATAACCGAGGAAAAATCCTTCAACACTGATCAAGGAAGTCCAGGCTAAACCTTGGTGAAATTAAAAAAGGCTTATTGCCAGCATGGGTTGAGCAGCCTTGTGGGTAAGACACCAAACTGAACTGAAAACCGCAGCAGCTGTTCTCTAATGGGGCAACCCCTAATGAGTGTGTATGGTCCTTGTGTGGGTGTGCTTCATGATATCTAAGCAGCGATGCATGCAGCCTAGCTTCTTGTTCAATTGCTAGGCCACTTCTCTTGCTTGCTTGTAGGGTAACTTGATTTTTTATCAAAACAATTTAAATCAGCAATTTAAATAGAAATGTAGGAGTGAAAAGGACCTTGATAGGTCATCTAGTCCAGCCCCTGCACTCAGGTAGGACTAAGTATTATCTAAACTATCCCTGACAGGTGTTTAGATAAACATCTGTAGGTTACACAACTTATTCTTAAAAACCTCTAATGATGGAGATTCCACAACCTCCCTAAGTAACTTTTTCCAGTGCTTAACTACTCTTACATTTATGTCTTTTAACGTCAAATCTGTCTCCTTTGCTGCAATTTAAGCCCATTACTATTCGTCCTGTCCTAAGTGGATAAGGAGAACCCTCCTCTTTATAACAACCTTTACGTACTTGATTCTTATGTTCCCCCTCAGTCTTCTCTTCTCTAGCCTAAACAAATTCAGTTTTTTCAACCTTTCCTCAGATGACACGTTTTCTAGACCTTTAATTTTTGCTGCTTTCCTCTGGACTTTAATTTATCCACATCTTCTGGTACCCAGAACTGAACACAGGATTCCAGTTGAGGCCTTTTCAGTGCTGAGTGGGATAATTACTTCAACACTCCTGCTAATGCATCCCAGAAGGATATTTGCTTTGTTTTTGTAACTGTATTATATTGTTGACTCATAGTTAGTTTGTGATCCACTATAACCCCCAGATCCTTTTTTGCAGTACCCCTTCCTAGGCAGTCATTTTCTATTTTGTATTTGTGCCATTGATTATTCCTTCCTAAGTGTAGTAGTTTGTGTTTGTCCGTGCTGAATTTCATCCTATTTATTTGAGACCATTTCTCCAGTTGGTCAAGATCATTGTGGATTCTAATCTTGTCCTTTAAAGATTGCAACCCCTCCTCTCCCAACCCTATCCATACACTCAAGAAATGTACTCTCTCTGCTATTATCCAAATCATCTATGAAGATATTTAAGAGAACCAGACCCAGGACAGATCCCTGTGGGACTCCACTCGATATGCCTTTCCAGCTTGACTGTAAACCATTGATAACTACTCTTTTCCAAACATTTGTGCACCCACTGTATATTTCCCTAGTTTGTTGATGAGAAGGTCATGTGGGCCAATATCAAAAGTTGTACTGAAGTTGAGATATATCACATCTGTTGCTTCCCTCATCACAAGGCTTGTTCCTGTCAAAGAAGGATATTGGGTTGGTTTGACATGACTTGTTCTTGACAAATCCACGTTGACCATTACTTATTGCCATATTATCTTCTAGGTGCTTACAAATGGATTGCTTGATTATTTGCTCCATTATTTTTTCAGGTACCGAAGTTAAATTGACTGGATTATAATTCCATGGGTTTTCCTTATTCCCCTTTTTATATATAGGTACCATAGTTGCCCTTAACGAGTCCTCTGGGTTCTCTCCCGCCTACCATGAGTTCTCAAATATCATGACTAAGGGCTCAGATTTCTTCATGATTTAAATCACCAAGTGGGAAGCTCAATTTAAATAATCAATTTTAATCCGCTTTTCCTTTTGTGCTTCAGTTACATTTCTAAAGAAAGTTGCCTTCTCATTGGTTGATATAACCATTAAGGCATGTTGATTTACAACTAAATAGTCTTTACAGTAAACTTGGTACATCTTTTTGCTATGGAGAGGGTTATACTATATATACATTTGAGCAATTATATAGCTTAATTTCAGCATACAATTTATTTTTATTAAACAAAATAACCTTAAATATTTTAGATACATAAACTTCTCTTATTAAAACATGGTTCACATTTATAACAATTATAATAAGTTTAGGCCTTAACATATATTGTGTAAAAATTAAATTTGAATTTAAACAGGTCTATTTTTAAAAAGAAAACATATTATTTAAATAAAATCCAAAATATCTGATTTAAATAAAAAAAAAAACCCTCCCCCCCTCTGCAAATCATCAATTTTTATCCACGCGGCTTGCTTGTAGTCCTGATTTGTGTGGCTCTTGCAGTTCTCAGTGTGTGATTGATGGGGCATTCTTCATTCCCTCCAGGTGATGTGGAGAAAGCAGTGACTGAACTGATCATAGACTTTGAAATGCACCCAGAGGAGGAGTGTCCTTATGAAGCTTTATACAATGCGACATCCTGCCACTCGCTGGACAGCCTGGCCAGTGGGAGGTCTTCAGACAGAGACTCTGTGAATAAGGAAGCAGAGACAACGGGTCTTAAGGCAGCAGGAATCAGGCCTGTATGTAGCCATGTGTGTTTTTATCTGTCTCTTTAAGTAATATAGAAAGCATTTATCTCCGTTCCCATACACTACTGCACTCTTGCTACAGGCTGAGTACCCAGCAGCGCAGTTGGAAATAAGTTTTAGATCCACCGCTAAGCTTGATTAGAGCAATTGGGATCTCTTCCCTCTCCTACCTGGGATGTGTGTGTTGCCTCCATAGTATTCCACGTGTGTAATCACTTCTACATCATGTCTGTCTGCTTCTTGTCCAAGTCTGTAAGAAGATGAGTATGGCCATGCTGGGCCAGACCAATGGTCCATTTAGTCCAGTATCCTGTTTTCTGATAGTTGCCAGTTGCAGATGGTTCAGAAGGAATGAACAGAACAGGGCAATTTATCAAGTCATCTATCTCCTGCCATCCAGTTCCAGCTTCTGGTGGTCAGAGGTTTAGGGATACCAAGAATGTGGGGTTGCATCCTGGACCATCTTGTCTAATAGCCATTGATGGACATATCTTCCAGGGACTTATCTAGTTCTTTTTTTAACCCAGTTATGTTGTAGGCCTTCACAATATCCCCTGGCAAGGAGTTCCACAGGCTGGCTGTGGATTGAGAGAAAAATGTTTTTTTTTTTTAAATCTGCTGTTTATTAATTGCATTGGGTTACCTCTGGTTCTTGTGCTGTGTATCCAACATGGTATTGGGCTGCTGAGGTTTTATACAGAGTGTCACTTACTTTGTCAGGACATATTTTTGTTTATGGTTTACCTCCTTGGCTATAACAACTTTTGGAGTCTAGTATGATTCTCTGAGTTGTGACATTTTTCTTCTCCCTTGTCACCCTCTTCCCTCTCCAAAAGACATGTAATCCAGTCCCCTTTGAATGCCCAGTGGTAAAATAAAGTTGATTTCCCCAGATGCTTCAGCTGTTCTGATTAGCCTTGGCAGCAAATTTTGTTCTGCATATCATTTCCAGACAGAATCCTGCAGGGGGCGCCGGAGGCTTTGCGAGTGAAGTATGTAGTCATTGGAAGGTCTTTTTCAAAGAAATCAGCCTAACTAGCTTTCTGTTAATTGCATCTGCTGGGGCTTTAGTAGCTGGTGGCAACCTTTTGCCATGGGGTGGGTGGGACCTCGGCTCGTGGTATGTTGTCTGTTTCAGTGTTTTTTATTGGGAGATTGGGGGGGGGGAGTTGAAGCAGACAAGGAGGAAAGTAGCAACGAATAATTCACCAGCTAGATGGATGCTGAAACCAGCTTTGTATAGTTTCAAAATGAGAACCTATATAACCTCTTTTTCCTCTAGTACATCTGCTACTGGAATAGTGATGTGAGACTAACTTAAAAAACAAGGTTTAGGAAAACTTCTGCCAGACCCTTTTCACAAGTATAAAACACCCAAAGCAGAATCCTGCCATGAACCGCAGCTACAAGTAGACTCAGTCCATGTATGTGGTCTTTTTGTAATAGTGCCTGCTTTGAGGCTAAACTCATCCCATACAGCCTGCACAGAAGGTCAAGTATGCCAAACTGGAATGGGAAGAGGGAGGAAGTGCTCTGAAAAGCAGAAACTTGTTGGAGTTCCCCCCAAAACTGCTCAGGATTTGGAGCAAGTGCCTGAGCATCCGTGCTTGCCAGTAGGTGCTGCTGCTGGAGAGAGCATGAGAGTATCTAGATTAGTCAAGATACATTGCAAGTGCAATTAGCATTTGGCAGGATTTTTAGAGCTATTTAACTATCAAGTAGTAACCTTGCAGTGTTGTGAGGAATGTGGTCCAGTGAAGTCTCTTAATGTCCCGTGTGTTCTCTCATAACTCATCACACCTCTCCAGTACATATTTACTCCTGCTAATGAGTAACATAAACAAATTCTCACCGCACTTTCCCTTTCTTGCATCTTGTACCCTAATAATGAACTAATCCTTTGCAACTCCAAGGAGCACAGAGTCAGAAAGTTGCTTTTGTGAAGGAGCATAGGCACCAGCCCAGCTGGGAATCTCCCGGCTGTTAGGGCAAACCCCTTTTGCTATCCTTCACTCTAAAAAGTCTTATCAGGGGATAGAATTTCCCTTTAAGCATATAAGAGGGGGCTGAAAGGAAGGAGTTTAAAACAAAGCTATTGATGGTGGGCTTTTAAACTGCAGAGAGAGCGTCCACCCCCTCCTGCCAAGCCACCCCCTGACGAAGAGGAGGAGCACGTGGAGAAGAAGCTAGGTCGCAGTGCTTCATGTGAGGTATGCAGGCGTTTTTGGGTGCTTTCTTTTTGCAGGGGTGGGTGAATGTGTGGTTTAAAGGTGAGTTTTAATGGCCCGGGAGGAGCCAAATATGATGATCTTAACTCCCTTGTGAATCTGAAAGTGAAGGATTCATTTTGTGGCAGTTTGATATGGAAACTTCCCTTACGCAACTCTGGCAGTTTCAGACTGGGAATTCCCTTAGGAAGAGACTTTGTATCAGGCAATGGTTTTGTGATGTGGACAGTTGTCAACTATCATGAACCCACTAAATATATTTTCATTTAATGCTGAAGCCTGAATTTGAATCCAGGTCTGCAGAGATCCAAGGCCGTTAAATCATGTTGCATCTTGGCTCCCAATTACAGGTCAGATACTTGAGTGGTGTAAATTGTTGTAACTTCACTGACTTCCATGGAGTTGAACTGATTAATACCAGCTGAGGGTCTGGCCCATTGTGTGTGAAAGAAATCTGCTGCAGATTCTAGTCTGTATATGGTGCTTTGTGATGCAAAACTTGAACGTTCACATTGGACTGTTTACAGTCTGTCTTGTTGCTCGTTTTGGCAAATTTCCAGAGCTTCAGATGAACAAGCTCTGCAGAAAGCAACAGAGGGTCCTGTGGCACCTTTGAGACTAACAGAAGTATTGGGAGCATAAGCTTTCGTGGGTAAGAACCTCACTTCTTCAGATGCAAGTAATGGAAATCTCCAGAGGCAGGTATAAAAAATCTCTCTGGAGATTTCCATTACTTGCATCTGAAGAAGTGAGGTTCTTACCCACGAAAGCTTATGCTCCCAATACTTCTGTTAGTCTCAAAGGTGCCACAGGACCCTCTGTTGCTTTTTACAGATTCAGACTAACACAGCTACCCCTCTGATACTTAAGCTCTGCAGAAGGCACTTAAATGGGAAAACACCCTAAATGTGTACTTGGAGACTCCTGCTGACAGGTAATAAAGATCCCGAGAGAACTTCGCTAACTTCTTGCTGCACTAAAAATCTTAAGCATTCCTCAAGTAAGATGTATGTAAAAATACAAGTTAAGTCTCTTCTGCCTCCTTCCTCTCGAACAGACTCTCAGTTCACCAGACACTTGGATTTGAATTTTTATCTGGTTATCTTGATCTGCTACTGTTTGGAGTACAGCATATATACGCAAGGTGTCAGTGAAAATGTTGGCTTTAAAAAAACCCCACGTAGAACTGTGCAGTACATCTGGGGATATTGTGGGGTAAAATCAATTTGAGGTTATTTAACGATGGCCTATTGAACAGGTTTCACTGCCATTACAAATGGTCTTTCAGATTAATTTCATAATCCTTTCCACATGCCTGTCTTTTGGCAGGGGGGAGCTGGGAAAAGGGGTCACCAGGTAATTCGGAAGCAGAAACTCTGCTTTTAAAGATAAGCATAGTGGAGGGAGGGAGATGAACATGATCTTGATCATAATTACAAAACACTTGCTCTTACTATTCCTCCATTAAAGGTGATGTGGAAACGTGATCTGCTAGGGGAAATCTTGCTGGCAAACATGTGTGTGCACAAAGTGATTCCTTAGGGGCATGTTGATTTGAAACCAATTGCAGTGATAGCCATGAACTGACTGTATTATTGTAGCTGTCTGGTATTGATTACTGTAGATAAGATGATACAACCATTTCATTTCAAGCGGTTATTCCCGCTCCTTTTACTCATGCTTTCCCAGAAAGTCACCTTTCAGGATAAAATTTTCCATGCTTGATCTCGACCTGAAGATAAAAAAAAAAATGTTGGGGGAGGGGTGTTAAATTTGAGAGAATTCCTAGTTTTGAATTGAGGATAAAAATGGAATGTTTCCGTTCAGACTGTACTAAGTCATGGCTGACATTGAATCCTGGCATGTATGGCCCTCATGGGGGAGTGCTCTTGACCAAGTTAAAAATGAATATGGTCAATAACAGTGATACCATTAGGCAATTGAAAAGTCATCCTGGAGCGATTGCATAGAATATCAGGGTTGGAAGGGACCTCAGGAGATCATCTAGTCCAACTTCCTGCTCAAAGCAGGACCAGTCCCCAACCAAATCATCCCAGACATGGCTTTGTCAAAACTGACCTTAAAAACCTCTGAGGAAGGAGATTCCACCACCTCCCTAGGTGACCCATTCCAGTGCTTCACCACCCTCCTAGTGAAAAAGTTTTTCCTAATATCCAACCTAAACCTCCCCCACTGCAACTTGAGACCATTACTCCTTGTTCTGTCATCTGCCACCACTGAGAACAGCTGAGCTCCATCCTCTTTGGAACCCCCTTTCAGGTAGTTGAAAGTAGCTATCAAATCCCCCCTCACTCTTCTCTTCTGCAGACTAAACAATCCCAGTTCCCTCAGCCTCTCCTCATAAGTCATGTGCTCCAGCCCCCTAATCATTTTTGTTGCCATAATACAGTTGATTTTAATACAGTAGCTGTAGAAGATTTTTAGCAGGGCCCATTGAAACCTTATCCTATTGTAATATCTCAACGTATGTTCTCCCTGCCAGGTCTGTCCACCACAGGGGCAGCTGCTGGGACTATATGCCTGAGGAAGACTGTAAATGTTTAATTGAAACACATGGCACAGAATCCTCCTCTACCTCCTCAAAACCTGCCATAACTTTAGGGACAGGAAAAAATCATGACTATGAGAGAATTACAGATTATGGTGGTATTTTTTTTAACTGCACTCTATAAATGCCAAGCTTTTATTTCAAAACAGCCTTTTATTCTGTTGCCATGAGACCACCTTCACAGTGTAAGCAGTTGTTCCTCACTTATGCACCTTGAGTTTCACCATTGAAAGATGTTTTGCAGTTATATACAGAATAGCTGATTGCTCATATCTGATGGGTGAATTCTTTCACCATCAATAGAACCCTTCTGTCTCTGTAGCCTGATAAGAGACTGAAATCTCAAACAAAACTTCAGTTCATCCTTTTACTACTCCCATTATCAAAATGGGAAGCTTAGATACAATTAGTTTCAAACAAAACATGATTATTCCAACATTATTCTGTAGTTTTCTGGCTCGGGGAGGGAGACAGAATTAGAGCCACCTGGTTTTTTTTTAAGTTGAAGTAATAAATCCTAAAGGTAGCCACAGGCCATTAAGAGGTGAATTACAGGAAATCATTCAGATCTGGGAGTGTTCAATGTTTATAGAGCTAAGTATGTTCGACAGGGTGTTTTCAAACACCGACTGGGCAATGGCTCCTAATGAATAGGAATAAGGGGTTGATTACCTACTCAGTCTAATGTACTTCGGGAAATGAACCATGTGCATGAATGATGGATGAGATGTTAACTTGAATTTCCTTCTGCCCATCCCTGGTGCATGTCTAGATGGAAGTTAGATAGCATAGGATTTAGGATCTGTCTGTCTTTCAGTTAAACAGATTCAAATGTCAAATACCTTGTGCAAGTCATTGCTGAGGGTAGAATGTCCTAGATTTGAAAGGTTCACCCCTTTTCCCCCCACCCAAAAAAATAGATCATCAGAGCCAGTGTTGGAATTTCAGGCACAGTGCAAGGTCCACCTATTCCCAGTGGTTTGAGCATGGATATAAATACCTACCTCAGAGGAGAGGTGTAAGTCTTAATGCTCAGGGTTTCTGAGATCCTTACTCAGACAGGTGCTGTGAATAGGCAAAGCCTAGTTAAAATAACAATCAGTATGTGTTCTCTACCCAGCCTCTCCCATCGAGAGGAGATATCCAGCTATACTTGAAGCAGTGTGGATAGTCCAATCAGTAAGTTATGTAGAGTGCTTGCATGGTTTGAAACCCTCATTAAGTAATTGTGGCTTGTTAGTCCAGGCCATTCTTTTAGTATCCTATCCTGGCAGTTTAACATAACAGGCAGTCGCATCATAGCTTAGACCAGGGGTCGGCAACCTTTCAGAAGTGGTGTGCCGAGTCTTCATTTATTCACTCTAATTTCAGGTTTCGTGTGCCAGTAATACATTTTAACGTTTTTAGAAGGTCCCTTTCTATAAGTCTATAATATAAAACTAAACTGTTGTTGTGTGTAAAGTAAATAAGGTTTTTAAAATGTTTAAGAAGTTTCACTTAAAATTAAATGCAAAGCCCCCCCGGATTGGTGGCCAGGACCCGGGCAGTGAGAGTGCCACTGAAAATCCGCTCGCATGCTGCCTTTGGCATGCGTGCCATAGGTTACCTACCCCTGGCTTGGATTGTATGCTTTTAGGGTCAGGGTCTGTCTCTCTGTGTTTTGTATAGCATTTAGCACAACAGAGTTCTCAGCTCAGTTGGGACTGCTGTGATACAAATTATAGAAAAACAAAAACACTTTTTTTTTTTTTCTTGAGCTGCAACAGAGTGGGGGAAAATAACAGTAAATTGGGTGTGCTGGCTTAAAAATAAAATATCTGGTCTAATGCCCCAAAACATGCAAGGTCTTAATAACTCTAGCAGTAGTGGGAGGGAGAAATGCCTTCCTTTCAAAAAGGAAGGTGGCATACTGCACACTTGCCATTCCAAAAGCTGCTACTTGTCGTGCTCCTGTTTTAAAGTTTCAGAGTGGTAGCCGTGTTAGTCTGTATCAGCAAAAAGAACGAGGAGTACTTGTGGCTCCTTAGAGACTAACAAATTTATTTGAGCATAAGTTTTCATGGGCTAAAGCCCACTTCATCAAATGTATGCAGTGGAAAATAAAGTAGGAAGATACAGGTTCATACATTCTGTGTGTGTGTGTGTCTTCCCACTGTATTTTCCACTTCATGCATCTGATGAAGTGGGCTTTAGCCCATGGAAGCTTATGCTCAAATAAATTTTAGTCTCTAAGGTGCCACAAGTACTCCTTGTTCTTTTTGTTTTAAAGCTTTCATTCTTTGGAGGCAAAGTAGCAGTGAACATTCCAGCACAGTTAGCCACATTCAGTGCTCATGGATTCACTGCATCTAAACCAGGCAGAAACAGTCACTTTCTTGTCATTAATTTAGCTACCAGACTGAACATTGCAAATGGGTGGGCGAAACTGGGTGCAGTGATGGATGAGTTGTGGTAGGCTTATTCTCAACTTGAAGTGAGAAGCCAGTCCTATGATCTGAGTGCTGACTGCCTAGGCTCTTGCATGTCTATTACTGAAGGTCTTTCGTTCCTCATTTAGGGCTTAGGGGAATCGGGGTGTTTGACTGCAGACGTGCATGTAAATGCAAAACCTTGGGAAACTTACCTGGTTTTGTTACATACCCGGAGCATGTTCCTCAAATAATTTGCTAAGGTTCACCATCATGCTAAGCAAACTCCTGATTCAGTTTCACGGTGAGGCTTTGAGTTAGTTTGAACCTGATACAGACTAAGGGCATGTCTACACGGCCCTGCAGTTTAGCCAATGGGGGTGTGAATAGCAAAGTGCTGTGCTGTATCTCCCTGATGTGGACGCTGAGGCCGCGAACTAGTTCACATGAATGTAGTCCTCTTCAAACAGGACTATACTGATGCAAAGCAGGAACCTTGCAGTTTGTGCCTTCAGTGTCCACATGGGGCAGTTACAGCACAGCACTTTGGTGTGCATTGCTATAGAACTAACTCCTCTTAGTCCAGTGGTTCTCAACCTATTTATGTGGCCCACAACATATTATATGGGCCGCATCCAATACTACCTGTATTGCTCTGAGGATGTCACAGGGCCGCAGCTTGTGTGTTGTTTGGGCCGCAGGTTGAGAACCACTGCCTTAGTCTCTAATACATTAGCATTAGAGGTGCAATGGATCAAGGAAGGTAACTTGACTGACTGGGAGGTTGGGTTTGTTTGAAGACCACCACTGGCAGGCTTTCTAGAGGTCTCCAGTGCAGTTGGTTGGGGATTCTACAGCTGTTCCAGATGCATTTAATTACAAAAAGAGGCTTCTCTTGAATATGGAAATAAGTAATACAATCACTTCAGTACCCTTTTTTACTTGGATGTTAAATTCAATTTATATTGCTCCCGGTCTTTTCAGTTTGAAGCATGCTGTGGAACTTGATATTGAAAATGCTAATTGTGACTTTTGGCACCCGGGAAAGTGTGAGAAGGAGGTAGTTCAGATTTGAGAGTAGTATGCTTGCTAACTGATGAAGTATTCAATCAATAGTGAAATAATTAATAAGGTTGCTAATGGAGTTTGCCACATGAAGTCTGAGTCAGCATCTTTTTAAAATAGATAGCGATGGATTTCTCATCTATTTTTTCAGGCTGCCTGCAGACTGAGCAAGTCGTCACTACATCAGTGACTGGGCAGTCTGGAAGGCGTTTTTCCAACTGTAAGAGTTAGAAAGTAGTGTGGGGGTGGGGGAGGTGTTTGCATTTTTAAAAAACAGTCTCAGCTTCTGAATTAGTTCTCTGGCAGAAGGGTGGATTCTGCAGCACATTCCATGGTCAGAACAATGGCATATAGGAGGGCTCCATGCATACCATAGGGGTAAATGACACTGACTTCGACAGACAACTACAGCATGCTGTATTTCATTAGGTCTCTGTGGTGCGGAGGAAGAGCAGGGGAAGTGCAGCCGAAGAAGAGGAGCATCCTTATGAGCTGTTGCTTACCGCAGAAACTAAAAAGCCGCTTGCAGTGGATAGAAAAACAAAAGGTAAGAGATGATACAGAAAGACAGCAATGTCCAGAAAGACAGCAGTGCCCAGACTGCCTGGGCTGGCAGATGTGACCAGCATGTAGGGGGCCGCAGGGGGAGAAATTTGATCCCAGCTATTTCTCTGGTTTGGATGGCTGGATTCTGTGCTGCAGTTATGTTCCTGTGGTAATCTGCTTCCATTCTCAGGGGAGAGGATTAAAATATTTCTGCCTCAATATCTACATTAAGTAAGAGAAGGTTTTTTGCCCTTAAGGCAAATATGAGATCCTAGGGACTTGACCCATTGAACTTTAAAAATTAAAACACCAGAATCTCGTGCACAAAGTAAGCAAAACAGGAACAAAAAAGATCAAAATGGAAGAATAACCAATCCATTGCTACTAGGGAAAAATCCTGGTCAAGCGAGTCAGTCAAATACAAATGTGTAAATACTAATGGGCCAGGTCCTCAGAGGTTTAAATCTGAGTCAATACATGTCAACTGAGGATCTGGCCCTGATATCACAATCCAAAATCAAGAAATGCACCACTGGCTGTCAGAGCCAATTAGAAAAATAAATTAACCAAGGAAGAAAACAAACACAGACAAAGTAAGCTGCTGTTAGGCGGCAGTTTAAAATCCGGTCATGCCATCAGATTAAATACTGCGCTTGGCTCTCTTCCCCCAGAGGGACCTTCATTTGGTGGTTTTTGTGGGATTTGGGAACCTGGAGCACTGTACACCACCCTGTATTTTGTAGGCGAGTATTGTTGCATTTGGTTTTCTTTCAAGAAAAGCTTTTTAGGTGAAAGATCTGCTCAGTGTGTACAACAGAAATGAGCAAGAGATCTGGGGGACTTAGTTGTGACTTCCGGTCTAAAGCAGCAAATGTTTCATCCTGAGACTGAATGAACAGTAAATATGACTTAGTGTTATGACTGTTGCTTGCTTGCCCTCCAAAATCACACTCCTCCTCCTACTAGTCTATTCACAGATGCTAGTTTCCACTTCTTGAATGCGCACAGTGGCAAAGAGGTCATTGATTTTTCTCACCAACCTTTACCAGAGCTATTCGTTGTCTGATGCAAAACTGCAGTGGTTTTCAGGTTGATGCTTCACAGTCCCAAATGGGGGAAGTCCTTGGTTGATGGTGGTTGAAAAGCTAGTTCATGTCTTCTAATGCTTGGCTTGAAAGGTTTAATTCATGTAGTTCAGGTGCTGCTGGATTTGTCTTTTCTGTAAGCTGTCAATGACAATACTACTCCTTCCTCTTGCCCTTGTCTTTTTGCTTAATATGCTAGTGCATAAATAAGCATTGGATATGGGTGTGTGTGTAGTTGCATATGCACAATATGATGTACTGTTTAAACTGTGGTACATTAGAGAGAATTCATTGCACAAACGCACGGAGACTTAAGTTCAAATCTTGATTCAGGGTTCTCCCCCTCAGCCTGGCACAAGCCATGAGTATTGCAGAGGCTGTGGGCCCAATCCCTTAAAAGAGGGAGGAGTTGATGGAAGCCCCTTGTCATCCATTTAGCTAAATAAGGAGCCGAAGAGGAATCCTGATTCCTGGCTAGTCTTCAGCCAGGAGGATAGGAGCCCTGAATCCAGGTTGGCGTTCTGAGGATGTCTCATTGTGGTTCTAAAGAACCCCCCTTCTCCATTAGGAGGAGAGCAATCCAAGAATCTAACAGTGTTTGGTTCTGAGAGTCTGTATTGGTTCCTTTCTTTTTGAAATAGTTTGTTTAGATCTAGCACCAAAAAGTGGCTCAGCTCAAGTGGTGGGTAGGACAGAACCTGCTGTACGAAGAAAAGGGGTCTACCAGTGCATTTCTTGGTACTGTATAAAAGAATCTGAATGCAAGAAGCAGCAGTAAGCTTGGGGTGGGCGGGAGAAAGGTGAGGACTTGATCAGCTCTGCTCCTGTTTCCTCTCACAGCAGGTGGTGTTGGGGTGGGGAGGAGTGTTAGCAGAGCAGTCACTATCTTTCCGGTATCAATATTACTGTCACTTCTCCTTTTAAAATGGTGCTTTTTGTTCACAGCTTGTACCTTGAAAGTTAATGGATCAGTTTCTAAAGCAGTGAGATAATGCGTGAGATTGCAGTATGGCAAGGCTACAGGTGTTGCAGTTTTTCTCTGCCTGGCCAGCTCTCCTCATTCTGCGGGAACAGCAGTGCTCTTGCAGGGCCTAAATGGCACAGGGGTCAGTTACTCACTGCATCATTTAACTCCAGGTGCTTTACAGCTCTTGTTTTGATTTTTTTTAAGGCACAAAGTGCTGTTTTTAAAAACTGCTGCTTTCCATCTTGTGTCCAGTCATGACTGCACATGTGTTCTTAGCCCCTGAGCCTTGCTTTCCTTTCGTAAGTGGATTAAAGCTCTCTAGCACTGTCAAGGTTCACCTGATGCTTTGGGCAGAGTTTCAGATCTGGTTTGGTTTGATCCAGACCAGCTTCCCATCTAATATAGAAAGGAATTTTAACAAGGTCTAACATGTGTAGAAAGTTAAGCCATGTGATGAGAATTAAGTCAAGTCCACTGGCATGGTCCTCCCTTGTGGATTGGTTAGAGGGGCTTGGTAAAACCCAGTGCATCTTGTCAGATACATCATAGAGGATGGGTGGGGGAAAAACATGCCCAGGTTTTGATGGTGGTTTTTTTTTTTTTTCCCTTTAGGGGAATCGCCATCTTCAGGTGCTATCAGCAGTAACCAGCTTCAGGTAGGAGTGACTTGGTTCTTTCTTATGATACAAGAGAAACAAAATTTTCTTCTTTGACATCACAATTCTGTCTTTTCTGGGAGGTGGCAAACCACAAACTGTGTATTTTACTCCTGGGGGAGAGACATGAGTCTGCATTTGTACTGCTCAAGATAGTTCACAAACTAAGAGCAAAACAGCACTGCTATCTCCTAGTAACCAAAACATTCCCTAACTGCACCTTCTTTAAGGTGGAAAAGTCATTTTCTGAACTGAAGTATTTTTTTGAAGAGGGAGTGTGGAAATAAAATGCAAACAAGCTCACAAAGTAGGGCTGCATTCTCTCAGGGTGATGTGATATAAATTCTGTCCAGCATGATTCCTGAGTTACTAGATGTAAACATGTGCATGTGGCCAGCTTTTCCTGTTCTAGGCATAAATACTCACATTTAAAGTTTGTGCAAGTGAGTTTTTCTGCTTCCAGTTTATTGCAAAAATAATCTTCAGCTAGAGCCACTGGTTGTGCTTTGTGAGGCTGTCTGCCCCATCTCACCTAGCTGTTCTGGTTTCTTCTGTGCCACAGAAGATACAGACTTGCATGCAACTTTTGTAAGTAACTTTGTGGCATGATGCATTATAGTGGGTCCTTGCTGGGCAGGGGTAGGGAAGGGAAGACCCACCCTATAAACCCCACCGTTAATCTTTGGATCAGGAAGCAGGGGCAAAAAGAGCAGAGAGAGCTTGATGCTTTTCATCCAGGGGACATTTGATAAGCCCTCCTGGTTATATAGCAGGGAGACTTAGACTTGCTTTGGGTGGGGAAGGCAACAGCAGTATATTTTTAGAACGGTTTAACAAGGAAAGTTTGGCTTGTTGAGTATTTCATGTTTGAAGATACCTGACTGCTGGCCAGAGAGCTTACTTAAATTCAGCTGTTCGGCTCTATACCAGGACTGAGTAACTTCATCTGCACCATGTCTGTATTTTGATTTAAATGGTTTTAATGTACGTGGCACTGTACGAACAAGGTGGCCTATGCTCAAAGGGGCTTACATGCTCGTTAGGTGTTAGTCAATTCCTGTTATGTGTGAAACCTTCAATGGAGGTTGACTACAAGGGCAAGTGCAGGTGTCTTTCTGTGTGTATTTATAATAGTTACTAAATGAGTTAAGAACATAAGAATAACCATTCTGGCGCCGTATTCTGTCTTCTGATGCTGGCCAGTGCCAGATGCTTCAGAGGGAATGAACAGAAGAGGGCAGTGTTGAGTCATCCATTCCCTGTCATCCAGTCCTAGCTTCTCGCAGTTATAACTGAAAGTCTCTATGGACAAAATACATGTTACTAGGTTTTCAGAATTAAACCTTAAATATAAACTACAGGGGATATTTTCAAAGGCACAGATGAGTTAGGCACCCAGTTCCCACCACATTGTCCTCTGTGCCTCTGAAAATCTCCATGTTCTAATTAGTTCCCCCAGATGAACTGCTTTTCTACCTATTCAGCAGAGAGCAATGGTTGGCATGTTTTTACCATTGGGGTGAAGATGACCATACTGGCTGTAAGACTGGAATAATCTAAGTGTATTTGCAGGCCAAACCCCGAAAAGGCAAGTCTTCCCAAGATGGTCAATGGCCATTGAATCGCCAAGGTTCTTCCGACCTCTCTCCTAGCCATTCCGAGCAATATCCAAATCCCGAATCACGCACAGTTGAGACCTCGACAGGTAAGGACCTTGCGCTTGTTGTGCATTTAGCCCCAATAGCAACCCTGCTTCTGTGCTTATCTGTGAGATTTTTAATACTGGTTTGTGTTAAATGCCCTGAAATGTTCTCTCCCTCAAGGCTTTCATCTCTACTTATTTGCTCTTCTCTGCAAGTGTCACAAACCCAACTTTGCCTTCTTCCTCCCTGGGGTATTTCTGTCCTGGTCTTGTGGTTGGCGCTTCATTTGAAGAGGCTGAATGCGTGGCTGTGCTTTCCCTTCTAACAGAGACCCCTTTGTTAGTCTTTGTGAGTGGCGCTTGGCCAGTCTGTTCTGTGTGGGCCCAAGTGTTCTAGCACGCGGCACAAACTATTGCCAGCCGCCTTTCTGCCTTCGGACAGAAATGCCATTAAATGTTAAACTGGGGTGTTGACAAAATGAGCAGTTAGGAATAGAAAAGGAATGAGAAGAAAGAGGCTGCTAAGGCCATCAAGACTCACTGTCCAGTCTATGCAGTAATTTCCCCTGTGGTGGAACTGGTTACCATAGAGTAAATGATTTGTCATGATTAAAACGGGGCTTGACCTTGCCGTGTGTATGGATGGAACTCTCTTAATGTATTCCTGGTTTGTTACAGCCTTGTGTCCTTGATAGGCTGTCACGTGGCTCAGGGATATATTGAACACACGGTCTGGTCCTGCAATACTCTAGCATGGTTAAGTGTTGGGACTGCCCTAGCAGAGTAAGATATAGTGTAGGCAGGACCTTGGAGAGATTGTAACTGGAGAGATGTTTCATCGTCCCCTATTAGCAATTTCATTTGCAAATTTTACACTGCATTTACATGCATCAATGGTAATTTCCAGTTACCTCACTTCCTTAGAATTTTTAACCTACTTAATTTTCTGTTTTTGGGGTGCCGTACCTGAAATGGTCATAAGAGGGACTTGACACAGGCAAGAAGAACTGTGAACTCCCTCAGTGGGCTGCCCTACTGGCTAACTTCAATTCCAACTTGTGCTGCTGTTCTGTTCCCAGGCAGAAGCTGCCAGTTCTATAAGTTTGTCTCTTGTATTTCTGTGGAACAAACAAATGTATAAGGGACTAAATAAAACTAATCAAACTCACGTTTGCAGCATTGCTGTGGCCGTGTTGGTCCTGGGATGTTAGAGACACAGAGTAAGTAAGGTAATACTTTCTATTGGACCATCTTCTGTTGGTGGAAGGGACAAGCTTTTGAGCATCACGGATCTCCTCTTCAGGTCTAGAGAAAGTAACCAGAGTGTCTGAGCTAAATACAAGGTGGGACAGATCCCTTATGCTTGTATTTAGTGGAGACATTCTGGTTACTTTCTCCGGACCTGAAGAAGAGCTCTGGGAAACTCAAAAATGTGTCCCTTCCACCAAAAGAAGTTCAACAAATAAAAGATATTACATCACCCACCTTCTTTCTAATCAAACTCATGTTACTTGTGCTCCAATGTCTAAAGTAGCTTCCACAGGTAAACTGCTAATCCCGTGCCTGCTTTTAGTTTCCAGGAAAAGGACATGTTGTATTTATATAATCCAAGAACTAATGTTTGCAAATGAGTAAATCAACCCTATTGCTAAAAAGGAAGCCCTTGTGAAAGGAGCCTATTTCACTCCAATCCATAATTGACTGGTTTTTAGTCACAAAATTCAGTAGCACATTTGGCCCATTGATTGAGAGTGGTCCTCCTTGCTGTGATCTCGGAGAGCTGGCTGTCTCAAACAAGTGGACAAGGACTGGATGGGCCTTGGAAATGGACCTTCCATGTCCCCTCTGGACATTCTCCTTACACTTCAGAGTTGGACAAGTCACGTTATCAAGGCATTTTATTGATCTCCAGCTGTAATTATCTTCTGGGTTGAAGACTTTAGTCTTGGGGGCAGCACGTTTCCCCAGTACTAAATTTAAGTGGTTACAATGTGTTTGTACCAGCAGTCATTGACAGGAGTATAATCCCTGACAGTTGATGAGAAAGTGGCAGTTCCCTCCAAGCATTTTAAAATCCTGTACAATTAGAATACACGTCTGCTATATGAATAAGGTGAGTGCCGCTCTGCTTCAGTGTGCCAGTTGGCAGTTGGGTTCAATCAATTATTCATGATTTATCCAGGGCACTGGTATTTGATATTAAGGATGTTAGTACGTTAGTAGCAGAGGAATAGTGTCAGATTTCTGGGACAGTCAGTACTGCAAACAGCTTGCTGCAATAATAGATCAGACCATCTTGTGTTTAGTGGTTAGTTAACAGGAGAGACTTTCTGGTGGAGTGAGATGTTACCAGTTTAAGCCCTCTTTCCCCCCTCCCTTGAGTAAGGAGGAGAAGTTGAGCTCTGAAGCCACTAAAGAAGAAATCAGCTCTTTTTTGAGAAGTGATTTTGGAACTTTGCAGGTTAATTGCAGTCCAGCAGTTTCCCACCCCGCAGTCTGAGCCAAGAATAGGGAGGTGCTGCTCTAAATAACACTTTGGCCTTTATGGAAATGTATCAAATGTTCCAGGAGTGTGTGTGTGTGTGTGTGTGTCTCTCTCTCTCTCTCTCTCTCTCTCTCTCTGCAGGATAGGGTTAGCACTTCTCCTGGCCTTATATAGCAAGGCCTGATTGTTACTGTTAACGGGAATAAAACAACAAGGAGAGCTGCCAGATTGCATAAATCAGGGCAGTATTTGGAATTTCATAAATGCCGTGACTTTGGGTACAAGTTGAGCGCTCAAACAATACTGAACTGTTCTCTATCGCTCCGTCTCTCGCCAGGGGAGGTGGAGTTTTGCTTCTCCTTCCGTGTTTTTTAATCTCTTTATTTCTGTCTCCATCCCCCTGAAGACCACAGGAGGAGCAGTGGTAGCCGGAGCCAAGATTCTGCAGACAGCCAGGACATCCAGGTCCCGGAGCAGTTTTCAGGGTTGCTCCATGGCTCTTCCCCGGTGTGTGAGATAAACGAGGACCCTTTCAGGCTCATTTCTTCTGTGGCCAAAGGAGGCACAGAGGGCACAGGCCACTCACCTGCTATGCAGTTGGAGGATGCTGATTTACCTGTCTCTGGATCAGTACGGACCAGTTCTCCTGAGCAAAACCAGAAAGCGATCTACGCAACGGTCCAGCCCAAAAACATCCAACAGGCAGAACCTGAAACTGCAGTGACTCCCCAAGCACTGCAGCACCCTGGTGGTACAGAGGAAGAGGGAGACAGAGGCAGTGCTGGGGGCCGAGCCCACCTGGGAGGCAAGCCCAAAGCAGAGCTCAAACTCAGCCGTAGTTTGTCCAAATCAGATTCCGACCTCCTGACCTGCTCGCCGACTGAGGACGATGCCATGGGGAGCCGGAGCGAATCGCTCTCAAACTGCAGCACTGGGAAGAAAAGGCTGGAGAAATCTCCGTCTTTTGCTTCGGAGTGGGATGAGGTAAGACTGACCTTGGCTTACTAATGCCTTAATGCTGGGAATGAGCTTGTGTGCTGTATGAGTTGCATCGTACTCAGTTTGTTGCGGGGAGAGAGTAAGTTGTGGGGCTTGAAGCATTATTCACTTTCCTTTGTTTTTAGCCAAGTTTCTTTCATTATTTGCCTGTTTAATTACAACAAGCCTCTCAGTGGTTAAATGCCGGGAGATAGGTGTAATCAGAGCAGGCATTCTTCTTAAACATTTGGAAATGTTCATATCCTGGGCTTTGCTTCACTTCTCTGGGCGTGTCCATCAGTGTGTTTTGGAACGGATTTTGTTTGCAAAAGGAGAGTTGTTGTGTTAGTGTCCCCTTCACTGGTCCTTCCCTCTGGAGTATCCCAGCCCAAAAGGGATGGGGGGGAGGTCCCTTTCTAGGTCACCATTTCCTGCGGTGTGTGCAGAAAGGGATGTGGGTGAGGAGGGTGTGCTGGGTTCATGGAGTGGGAGGTCGGGAGGCTTTTGCACGTTTATTAGATCTAGCTTATGTCTTGAAGTGATTAGTTCAGAGGCGGGTTAGAAGTCATTTTAGTGGCGTGCAAAAGGGAGGGGCCCTTATTTCATGCTTAGGAAGTTGGCCTTAGTGAACCATTCAACTGGGATTGTGTCCCTCTGAAATTGAGCACTGCAGCATTATTGAAACATTCTTTGGAGATGATTCCATACTGGTAGAACAACAGAGCTATGTAAAAGATGAGCCCAGATCAGCCACTCGTTGTGTACTGAAAGGGAAACCCTCCCCGGGAGAGAATCGGATTCATGAAAGCTGCAGGCGTGCCAGGCCTGTAAATGGCTGGCGAAAGGGAATCCCATACCCAATGGGACATGTTCAGGGTGTTCCAGTGAAAATGTCAGTGACCGTACGTACCCCTTGCTCAGACTGTATGTGTGTTGATTGAGGCTCAACCTCTGCACAATCCAAATTAAGTATTATCTTTTATCGGTTACATGGCTGACGGATGGGTGAAACTTACCCCAGGGAGAAGTGATGTACTCAGAAAATACTGCTAAACAAAAATCCTCCAAGGTAACTAGGCAAGTGTCTGTGGGCCTCCTCCTTTTGTTGAAGCACACTCCCCATCTTGCTTCCAGGAGACATTCACACCAACTGAGCGTTCTTCCACAGCTGTCTTGGTTACAGTGTCTGTGCAGTTATTGATTAACTGTGTCAATGATACCAAAGCTATAAGGGATTGATTCTTAAGGAGAAGGTTGATCTGTTGGGACTCAGTTATTTATTTTTGCTGTGCTGCTGTCACACTTCATTTGAAATTCTTCCCCCCTACCCCAGATGGCTGTTTCCAGCGGAGCCCTAAACTACATAAGGGAAAGCCCAGCTCTCTGCCCTCTTTGGGTTTACATTGCTACAGTGGTTGGACCGGTAGCAAGAGTGTAATCACTGTTAGAGCTTCCCTGCTTGGTATAGTTAGGTGGGCAAGCTTGAAAATCAATTTCCCTGCTTGCTTGCAGATAACATGGCAACTGGTTCTGCAATTTAACACTGGATGGAACAGAGACTCTTTAACCTACAGAAAAGTCCAGAGTGTCATACAGACACATGCTGGTAATGGTTCCGACCAAGAAGAGAATTGGGGAGAAGAGGCTAGGGGGAGTGAATGTAAAGGATTCCTACCCTTAATCTAAAATCAAACCACTCTAATTTAAAACTTTATTTTCAAAACCTTAATGTTTGAATATTTTTTAAGGGATGTATTGGGTTGGAGGGGTTGGATCCTGAGAAAAAGCTATTTTTATCTCTTGTATTGCCCTGCATCTAGAGGGCCCAATGAAGTTCAGAGGCCCATTATGCTATCTTTTCCCCACAGCTGTTGTCCCCTGATCATCTGTAGGATTTAAGTGTTGTCTTGTCTCTTTTTTGATTTTTCTTTTTAACCCTCATGAGGCATCAGTGCTTCTCTTTATCCTGATCTGGGTTGTTTCCCCATGACCTCCTTCAGAGACACAGCTGTGCTGGGCATTTTCAGGTGTATGCAGTGCTCATATTATGCATTGGAAGGGGGTTGAGTAATAAACCTTATTAATCTCTGGATTCATGGGACATCATGCCTGCCTCAGAATCATTTGTAATAAGGCAATGTGGCTTAGTGGATAGACCACTGATCCAGGGTGCCGGAGATCTGGACTCTGTTCCCGGCTCTCCTGCTGACTTTGGCCCAGTCACTTTGTTCTGTTTATTTTTTCCAATCTGTAAAATGGGGATAATGATGCTGACCTCCTTTGGAAGGTGCTTTGAGATCTACTGAGGAAAAGGATTACAGAAGAGCTAAATGCTGGCAGTTACTACTTCAGGTCGGGGTCAGGCCACTGATGCTGGATCTGCTGAGTTTCTGTTCCGGAGAGGCACCAGTCAGTACAGCGTATTATAGGAGCAGGTGTGGAGGGGCAGCTGCGCAGTGAAATGTGCTCATTGCATGCCCCACATTATGCTTGGGCTAAGGCCTATGCTCATTTGCAATTTTAAAATGTTTCGTATGGTATCATCCCTGCAGGTGAGGAATGTCTAACCCTTCCCTTTTCACCAGCTCCAAAATTCACACCTGCAAGAGAAGGAACTTTGTATTGTGATAGCTTAAATGAGCAGTAGAGAGACTGGTCTGATGACAATTAGAACAATAGTGATGAGACTAAAGAACTCTTCAGTTTTCTCTCAAAGGTTTACTCATCCCCTGGATGGGTTAATGCAGCTGCTTCTGAATTAGGATGTGACTTACAGCCTCTGAATGAGCGTCTGGTTAATGTAAAACTGCACTGAGCCTGGAGCTCTTCTGCTTCTGACTGTTTGCAATGAGAGTATTGGCAGTGGGATAATCCCCCATCGGTGCATGGCAGATTTACACATGTTATTTCATTAATGTTAATATTTATGCAGATAGCTAGAGGGGAAGAGAGTCCCTGTCTGTGTTGCTCTATGCAGTACAGACGTTAAAATCTGTCTCACCCAGTGGCTTTACTAAAAGTGGGCATGCCTCCTTGTGGAGTCAAGTGTTTCAGGAGTGACCTTCGTGAACTCATGAGGCAGATGGGACAGCAAAGCTGGGGGGGAGAGAAGAGCAAAGCCTATGTTGCTTTTGGGCTATCTGTGATGGTGTCAAATAAGTCCATACATGGTGAAGAAAGAAGGTAAATTTTGCCTTGAAAGGTCTGATCCCTTCGCAGGCTCATCGCTGTCGGTGAGCTCCTTCCCCAGATAGCTGAATCCCCTTTGTTTGGAAGGGGAAGGTGGTGCCCGTTTCAGCAAGAGGGTGGGATAAGAAACAGTGGTTCACTTGGCAAAGATCTCTCCTGTTGCTGACTTGCTGTGGAGAGCAGCTCCCCCACTCTGTAACCCTGGTCTAAATAATAGGACAATATTACTTTGTGCTCAGTGCTGCAAAAGAATCTATTTAGTGTCTGTTTCCTTTCTGTCTCCTGACTCACTGGCCGTTTCATGTGAACATGAACACACGCTCTCCCCTCTGCTGTAGTCATCTGATATAAACTCCCTACAAGCCAGACGTAGGCATCATCAAAGCAAACAGCAATGCAGCATCGGGTGGGAGAGAGGAGCGAATCTGGCTTGATCCCTCATGGGAATGGGAATGAAGTTTGGGTGAGAGAGGAACTGCATGAGGTAGAGCCTCTCGTTAGCATAAATATTTGAATACTTCAAAACTTGGCTGAGGGCTAAAGTGATAAATTTGTTTTTCGTAATTGGTTCATGAATATTTAGCAGCCGTGAGATGAACACACAGCAGTCACAGCACACTATGAATTTTATATGAGAGAATAAACTTATGTTCATGTTTTGGAAGGGGAGGGGACTGTTTGGTGCCAGGCAGAGAGATGCTGCTAGCCCAGCTTCAGGAGCACTTTAGCAGGTGCATCTGGTCTCCCTTCCTCCCCTCTCGGCTGTAGAACAGTTTCAGATCTCACTCTGCACATCTGTCTGAGTTCATATGCTTGGAAGAGCCCCCCCCCATCGCATGCAGGCAAACTGATTGCCAAACAATATTTAATAGTTTTATGTTTATGTAGTGCTTTTTATCCAAAAGAGACCTAAGACACTTTATAAATTGGACAGAAATCAGTTCATCCACCTTGGAAATACAGCCACCTGGGTTGAAACATATCTAGTGTTTAACAGCACCCTGGAACAGTACACAACAGCTTAGGATAAAGTAAAGAATATCCAATTCAAACTGTAGAGTGTATTTAGGTAGAGAAAAGGTAACTATGCAAACCAGAATTTGGCAGGACACTGGAGATGGAGCTCATTATTTAATGATGTTCGACTCCTGTGTAAATGTAACAGTTACTACTGATTACCAAGATGTTTCTGTGTAAACAGGAACTGCCAAGCCTTTTTGGGTAGGCAGTGTGGTCCAGTGAATTGGACATAGGATTAGGAATCAGGAAGGCCTGGGTTCTGTTCCTAGTGCTGCCATGGACCTTCTGTGTGAGCTTGGGCAAAGATCACTTTCCTCCTTTGATTTATTTTCCCCCTCTGTCAGATGGGGGAAGGATGGTTCTCTTTTGTAGAATGATTTGAAATGTATAGAAGAAAAGCACTGTGGTTACTGTCACATTACTGAAGCTGGTGATAACCAAGGCCTGGTCCCCACTAAGCCCCCACTTCGGACTAAGGTACGCAAATTCAGCTACGTTAATAACGTAGCTGAATTCGAAGTACCTTAATCCGAACTTACCGCGGGTCCAGACGCGGCAGGAAGGCTCCCCCTTCGATGCCGCGTACTCCTCTCGGCGAGCTGGAGTACCAGCGTCGACGGCAAGCACTTCCGGGATTGATCCCAGAACATCGATTGCCTGCCGCCGGACCCTCCGGTAAGTGAAGACGTACCCTATGTTGATGGATGTGGATCCTACCCTGTAAATGATTGGGATGTTTCATTTGTCAAAGAAATGGCCTCATCAGTTAAACAGAAAATGCCTTTCTGTAGCAGCCT